GAAAGAGTGGAAAAATGAATCACCTATCTTAAAAACAGGTAGGATAGAAAAACAGAGAATAAAATTGGGAAGGTAGCCTATTCACATTTTCTTACTATACTGGAATTGAGTTTAAAGACAGCAAATTTCAAGGCAACAACAACAACAAAAAAACCCACCAAACAACCAAACCACCACCCTTTGATACTCAGTCAAAGTCTGTAAGTGGATCTCATTGCTACAAGATGCTTTGCAGCATTCCGATAACTGCTAGCCATTCTATAAGTCACAAAATAAAGAGCATTGGAGCAGGGGGTGCTTACAAAGAAATTAAGGTTTTGAAATTAATATAAACTGTGATGTTCCTTGGCATGAAACAACCTCCAGATATTGCGGGAAACTTTTGAAAAACTGTTTCTTTGCAAACACCTAATGCAGAGCTCTTTCCAAAACCTTTCTGAAGTAGACAGTCAAGGCTACTGTTGGATATCGCAGTTGATAAACTAATTGTACAGCCTAGTTAGGAACTTCTTCAGTTTCTGCTAATTGTGTTGAGTTGTAATGAAAACAGTCTCCGTCTAGATACTAAAATTCTTGGCATGGGATTTAGGCTGTGGAAGGGGGAAGTTACAGGCTGCAACTTACTTTAAGATGGGACCTGCATGGAATAAAGGAGTTAGCCTTCCTCTGCAGAGGAGAACTTAGATATGGGTAACTGTGAGATCTTAGGTGTGGCCTTAACATCAGAAATTAATGCCTAAGATCCTCGTCTGCAGTCTGTATACACCTCCTTATTGCTCCAGTGCCTGCATCTTTTGGAAGAAGCTAAGTGTCAATGAGCATAGCTTAGTTTTAAGGGGGCAGAAGAATTTTTTAGAAAGCAAATATTTGAAAGCAGTTTTTCCTTCAAACAAAACGTTCTTTTGGCAAAAATGGTTCTGTCAGTTGAAATGGAGCTATTCTGGGATTGTCCTAGAATAATGATAAAACCCTAATCAGCTATAATTCCTGTGCCTTCTCTGACCTGGTAAAACTCCCCTAAACTCAGTGCGGCTACAGTGTCCCGAGCTTGGGAAGAGTCAGCTCAAACCTCGCCGAGGTATAAACCAGTTGTAAGTACATAGGTTGCGAATTTTAAAGCGGGCTGCAAACGCCCCGTTATTTGCACAGAGCCCACAGCAAACGCATACAGTTTAGCTCCGGTTTCGTCCTGGCAGTCAGTAACGACAGCGGGGACGTGAGCCGGAGGGATAAGCGGGCACCGGGGCTGGGGCAGCGGGGGACGGCGCGCACCGCTCCGGCGGGCTCCTTCCTCTCGCCTCCCTCCGTGCTCTGAGCTCCTCTGCAGCTCATCTCCGAGGGACCCGGAGGAGGCGGGAGAGAACCGCTCCCGGCAGGTCCCCAGCGCCGGCGGCCGCCCTCGGTCCGCGGGGGCGGCGGGCGCGGT